TCTGGGGGTCCAATCTACCTGTTCGATGAAAATGTCTTTGATTTTCTCCCTACTCTGTGTCCCTAATAACACTTTTTACTTGAAATATGACGAAGCAAATTACTGCTTTTTTAAGATATACTTGAGGCACTTGCGTTAACATTTCAAAATCAGATTAATAAAATACAAACTAAAATCCAGACTAGGTATCCATTAACGCAATACATCTTGATATACACATTTCTTTAGTTATGCACTTGATTAAATGTATACAGTCTTGTATGATGATGAGGATTTTTACAGAATGGCCTCTAAATCTGATTTTGGAAAACTGGGTGTCTTACACAATTGATTGATTGCCACTCTCTGTATGCTAATTCAGTTTGCCTTTGGTTTAAGTTAATTTGTAGATTTTTAATTTGGAAAAAGCCATTATAATTTATTTCAATTCACTGTTCAAGATGTAGTATCATTAATGAAATTGAACATTCAAGGAACAACTGCCATTTTTGAGTGCAAGTCATTTTGTTTTGCTCCTACTAATTAATAGAATTTGCAGGCTAAGCTGTAGACTTTGTATTTTGTAAATAACTTCTTCTTGATACTCATTCTTTCTATGTTGTCGAGATTTCGTGTATTGTTCTTTTTTTATTTTACTGATTTCTATGCTACAGTTGTATACTGGAAGTCCCTTAGCCTTAGCTTGTCAGGTTAGATATAGGATTTAACAACAGAAAAAGGCATCACATACTGTCAGTGGAGCTCCAATCTTCTGTCTCCAAAATAAGGTGATCCGGGTTAGTCAGTGGTCTGAGAGAAACATAGGTAAACCATTGATTCTGTTTTTTTATTTGTGTTTTCAGGATATCTGGGGCAAAAATTAAATGTATTGAATTGGCACAAGAACAACAGCACTTTCGGAATGATTTAATTTTTGTAAAATAAATTCTGACAAGCCTTTCAGATGTTCAACATTTACATTTCATGTAAACTGTTACAAAATACACTCTTTAAGATTTTAAAGAAAACTTTGGAAGATAAAAGACTCTTCAAACCAAGTCAGGCATAGAAAATATCCTATGTTTTATAATCACTGAAAAAAAAATAGAAGACAAAACGTTTCCCGATAATAACCCCATTCCCATGCTGGTAAGAGGCACATGTTGAAAATCAAGCAGGGCCCCAAGTGATAACAGTGAGGCGATTAAGACTTTGCATGGAGTGGTGACTGCATGGTTCTAATGCATGAGGGAGAAATAGTTGCTGTGCTTGCAATGGTGCATTCAATTAAATATGCACATTACAAGCAAATTGTTCCCCTAGATAAGTGAAAAGGTCTTTGTGATAGTTATCTTAAATTACATAATATGCAAGAGCTATCTGTGAGACAAACGCATACAGTACATCTCACGGTATCCATGATGTATGTCATGTATATCTCTAGCCATGATACCAGTTCAATTTTTATCAGTTTGAGGTAAGCCCTTTGTAAACTACCAATAGAACTATAATTTGAGCAAAATATAAGTGAAGAAAATGAGCTTACCGATGTTTTAATATTTCCCCTACAGTTTATCTTTAATCAAGGGTAAATGAACTTAATCAAATTTACATTTTAACAACAGTCCTGGATATTCCACAGAAAGGAAAAGATGAAAAAATAAAGCTGATAAAGATTACTTTATCAACTGTGGGGAACAAAAATGTTGACATTTAGTCTTCCGCATTTTTTATTTCTTTCAAACTTCCATGCAAAATACTTTACACTCATAACTTGATAGTGCACACTGCCCACAGAGCATGGCAAAGTGTGTACATTTAGGAACATTATTCTTTATTCATGTTGATTGCTTTTTTGGTTAGCAACATTAATGATTGCTAACATCAGAATTTAGATGCTGAGCCAGAATTATCGTGTTAGCATAATACAGACTTGACATATTTTTTAATGCTGAATCAGTGTTGAAAAACAGCTTACCACATTTCAGTATTTAAATTAATCTTTACATATTAACATAATCACAACCCAGTTCATTCCAAAACTATAAATTTGGAAGACATAAAGTGGAAATAATAATATGAACAATACATTTTTATCACCACTGAATGCTGAGAAACTAATAGTTGTTATGGGAGTGGGTTATACTCTTTCTTACTATATATAGATCATTATGTATATTTTTTTATAGAAATAAATCATTCTCTTTTTAAGTTAAAAATGCATTTATATACAGCAGCTGTGACTGACATATTCTTCCAAGAGGCGCTTACCAGATATGGAAATTATAGCTGCACATATGTGTACAGATGTTTTAGTAGCTACTTGATTTTATTTTGTTCCATTTCAATTTTATATATCTTTTTTTTCATCCCCTCACTAAGCTCTTCACATATACAGTACAGTAGGAAGAGTCTCTCATCCACTACTGAAATGCGGCACCCATCAGGGTGACACACAGCTGCCCCACTACACAGTGGATCCAGAGGGAACACAGGAAATGACTTTTCACGTTAATTAAGGGGGATGGAATTATGGAGTCAGACTATGTAACTCCAAAGTGGAATTTAGCCATGACTGGTTTAACACCCCTACTCTTCCTAACAATCTGATGGGATACAAAGGATATTTAACTACACAATAAGTACAATAAAACAAGTCTTATACTAAAGTATACTGTATGCATGAGAATCATTTTATGTTCATAACCAAATCCAACACTGAATGTGGAAATCCACAGGAAT